GTTTTTTAGTGAGGTAAACAAATTTACCAAAAATGATCAAAATCGGAGATGGTGGGGGAAGAACCTTTGGTTGATTTGATATGGACTGACCCATACTTTACAAATTATCTCTAAAACAAATCATTTTATCAAAATTTTATAAGAGACAAAACATTTTCAACAATAAATGATTACGTGAAAAAATTCCGTTTGGAAGTCATTGGCGCACGTACTAAAAAATAGGGGGAGTCAGTGAGTACTGGACCCCCCTATTTTGATTATTTGACAATTGTTTTTTGTTTTGTTGGTCTCAAAAAATGTAACTATTTATGTTGAAGTAGTGTACCGAATTTAAACTTAGTATCTTATCAATTACTCGAATTATTAAAAAAAATCAGTTTTTAATTTCAAACTTTGTCGCCCTGTATATCGAACATGAAGCCCTAAATTGAAAAATGGTATTATGAAAGTCTTATTGTTTTAACTCAAGGAATATATGGTTAACGGATTGACCTCCTTTTCCCGGACACCCTGTACATATATATATATACATGTATATTAGGGTGGCCCAAAAAAAATAAAGAATATTTTTTTTCTCGTCTCTTGTGAATATATGTTGGTTTGTCATGTTTTAAGAGCCCTGTCAAAAGATCAGCTCCATTAAAAAATTTTTTAAAGGTCAATCAAGATATTTAAAAATTTCCAAAATCGTCATAAATTTAATTTTTTTCTCGTTCCGATATTATTTTTTAATTTGAAAATAACAATGAAAATTTCAAATCGATATTTTGATTTCTAAAGGTCGCTCAAGATTTTTTTAGCTTTCAAAGTTGAGTATTTTCAATGTTTTCGAGCGACCTCTGAATATAAATATCAACGAACTTTAAGCGATTTTTGTTAAAATTAAAATGAAACAAAAATTCAATTTTTGAGGATTTTTAAAATTTTTTAAAATCATGAGCGACCCCTAAAAATTTTGAATCGAGCTGGCTCTTACAGCATGAAAAACTAACAAATTTTTACATGAGACTACAAAAAAAATATTCTTTTTTTTTTGGGTCACCCTAATATATATATATATATATATATATATATTATATTTATTTATATATATATATATTAGGGTGGTCCTTAGCTATAGAGGTAAAAGATATACTTTTAATATTGAATTGTCCCACACCCCCATTTTGTTATAGAGAAAGAGAAAAAAAATTACACAAAAATTTGAATGGCCAAATCAACCCCTTCACGTGCCTGTGAGGGGTTGAATTTTGACAAAATCTCCAATTTTTAAGGTTTTTGCCATTTACTCCGCAAAAATCGCATATCTCAAAAAATTTTACTCATTAAAATCTTTTCGTCTATTAAAGGTCTATAAAAATTGTCTCTTGAGATTTTATCCTAGAAAGCACCATTTCGTGGAAAATTGCATTTGTGCATAATTACCACAAATTTAAGGTTTGTGTAGGAAATGGTGCTTTCTAGGATAAAATCTCAAGAGACAATTTTTATAGACCTTTAATAGACGAAAAGATTTTAATGAGTAAAATTTTTTGAGATATGCGATTTTTACGGAGTAAATGGCAAAAACCTTAAAAATTGGGGATTTTGTCAAAATTCAACCCCTCACAGGCACGTGAAGGGGTTGAGTTGGCCATTCAAATTTTTGTGTAATTTTTTTTCTCTTGTGTTATAACAAAATGGGGGGGTGGGACAATTCAATATTAAAAGTATATCTTTTACCTCTATAGCTAAGGACCACCCTAATATATATATATATATATATATATATATAACTGAAATTTTATCCTAAGTATATTAAATTTAGATAATTAAAATAATGTACTGTAATTTACAATTAAGGTGAAACAGTTAAGCAAAATGTTTTAGATTAATATTAAATATCAAAAAATTTGCACTTTTAAAATGTTAAAATATTTTTTGCATAGGATATGCAATATAGAAAATAATTTATAAAAAGGTTTTTGTTTTTACACAAGTTTATCGATATGTACTATAATAGTCCAATAATTGTTAAAAATACACATAAATATACTTTAGTAAGATGATAATATTAAACGAAATACAGATAATTAAAAAACAGTTCAGTGTGAAACTTAAAATAAAAATGTAAATTTTATATTTACAGCATAAAAGTTAAATGACTGAAATTAAGAACTTAAATATTTGTATACTATTAAACTGTTAAACAAGGTATTCATAACTAATGGAAAATACTACAATAATTGTAGTATTTATTGTAAAAATTGGAGATCGAGATATAACGATTAACATAACATTTAATATACCTTAAGATTAAAAGTATTAAATTTTAAAAAATAATGACTATATAGAATGACTATATAAAATTGTTACTTTTTAAGTTTAAAAACCTCTCTAAAAACTTAAATTTTGAAAAATTAAAAAAGTAAATTAAATTAAATTTATAGAAGCTTTACTCAATAATATCACGTTTAATTACTGTAATAGTCATAAAAAACATAAATGATTTTAAAAAATTTAATAAGTAAGTAAAATACTTCTAGTGAGTATGAGATTCTTCAGGCACTGGTTTTTTGCATGAAATTTGCCCACTACAAATCTAATTGTTTACCATTTCATAGTTTAGTTTAAATTACATAAACCGAAAAGTTTTTAAAGGGCCGTTCGGCTTAATATATGGAGCAATCATTACCAATTGTCCTAATTTATTGTTTAAAAATGTGTAAGGCTTGCTTGTCTTAAAAGTTGGGGCTGCAATTAACAAATATAAGCGTTTGAAGAAAACCTTTCCATGATGTTTTTAGGTAATGATGTCTATGCATTATTATAATACAAATATGATTAAACGTTTTTATAGAAACTAAGCCTAAATATCATAATGTAATTGAAGACATTTTTTCAAAAAACGACACATGTCCAAAATCTGAATTTTTCAGGATAAACAAAAAACTTTAAAAAATGTGTGATATGCTACTAGATGGCGCATTTAACTCGATTTGAGCATTTTGTGACATGTGCGGTTTTTTGAAAGAAAGTCTTCAATTGTATGGTAAAACATGGTGAAATTGTAGTAAAGTTACAAAAAAAACCGTAAAAAAAGGAACTGTAAAATGTTAAATAGCTAAAATTATTCTTGAAATCAGACAAGTATTGTAAATTATTAAAAGAAAAAAATTAAAATTAAGAAAAAACAGCAGAAAATAGAGAAACATTATTAAAATATTTATATTTAATTACAAAAATATAAAAATTCTTGAAAATTGGTTTCAGGTCAGAACAAGAATGAAAATATGTCATAAGAAAGCAAGTTCTTAAAAAAAGTGTAATATTAAAAAATTAATGAAAAATAATAAAACAGGATATCGAAAAAGATCGATCAACATAAATATATATGTTAATAAGAAAAATATGTTTAATCTTGATTAATTTTAGACTACACCTTTAAAAATGTTTAACCTATCTAAATAGATTGATTAAAATACATTTTTTTGATAAGATGTTAATAGTAAACGACATAAAAATAATAATTAATGTTATGCATATAACCTAAAGACAGGTGACAGGTGGGGTAGCACATAGACTAATAGCTTTTTTAACATTAATGATCCATTAAAAAAAATTAAATAAGAGCCTTTGTTGGTAAAACTCCATGTTATTCAAGGTATATCAGAAGTGCCATGTGTTCTACTAACGACTTCTATTATTTTTTACTAAGAAATCCACAGTTTTTCCAAACTTTATGTCACACCCTGTATAATTAATTAGTTGTAGAAAAATAACTTTTCTTTGACGCGTTCAATATTATTCTAAGAATAAAAAATTGACCCAGTTGTGCCTGAACACAATTTTGGTAAAATACGTTTTTTTCATAAATATGTATTTATTAAGGATCAAATAATATGACAAAAATGTTTAAAAATATTAAAGTCAATCCATAAACCCTTTAGGACTAATCGTATATTTAGGACGTTAGGAAAATATCATACCATGGAACTTAAATTTTACTTGTTGTCAATAAACATTTTACATGGACGCCAACGTCAACACCTCGTTGTTGTCTTTGCGTGGCAATGACGGCAGTTGGTCTGATTTTCTTTGTGGATGGCATAATGTTTAATCTTGTCAAAACGTATCGCATCATTTTCATTTTTGCCAGGACGTCCGGTAGCCCTTGTTGTTTTCTTTTTATTTTGAGTTAAAAGTCCTACTGCTATCTGCAGCCTAAATGCTAAATGATCATACAAACCCTTATCATTTTTGTGATTTTTCTGTGCATTATGGAAGATCATGTCGATACCATGTGACACAAGGGGAAAATACTATTTTTTAATCCGAATGGATATTCTATACAAACTTATATTTTCATCGCTCCTGTCCCATGTTGGTGTTATTATATTTTTTTATTACATAAGGTTCTTTTATCTGAATACTTTTCTCATATTTTGGTTTAACAGTTTGCTGAAGTGTATTTGAGCACATGGTTACTATATTGTCGTCGTTCCACTGAACAGCTACTAAACTGTGATCTTCTGAACCAGCACCTACGCCTAGATCTTTATATTTGTGACCAGGTAATTTACGTACCCCAGTCGAGAACACAGTTTTTATCCATACCTGATGTATGGTTACATCCGTGGCGCCCATAGTATGGCACCATGGCTTCATCAAAGATTTTTCTAGACGGACATTTTCTTAAAATGTTTTATTTAGATGTATAAAAAAGAACGTACTTTGGCAAACTTGTCATCCTTGTTTATGGTGTTATTGTCAAAAAAGTGCAGGTTACTCATTATAAACCGGTCTCTAGATATTGCATTCGAAACTAAATCATTATGCGTATCTTTTTTCCAAAACATAGGCCTTTTTGGTAGTTGTACGTAGCTGCTCAAAAGAAGAACACCAATAAATGCTCGTATTTATTGTGAAGTAACGTTTGCGGTTTATTTTTTTGATCAACTAGAATGATTTTTTAATTAATTTTACCTAATAAAAAAACATTTGTTTCAGTTACCATAAGGTCAATAAGGTCTGTTTTTATTTTCCAGTGGTTTTTTTATTAGACGAGCAAGGGAAGAGTTCATTTTTTCATCAGAGTCTGTGTCATTATCTGACCTTTTACAAGCTATAGTTATTTCTGCAGGTGCTCTTAGCTGACTTCCTGGCAGATTGTTCAATACAAACATGTCGTCACTTCCGGAATCTTCATCGGTAATGTTTCCACAGGAGTTTTCTGGTGCAAGCAAAACTACCTATTTTAGCATTAGGTTCAACATTATCATTGTTATCACTGTCATATAACATAGATAGCGCTTCATTGAGATAAAGCCCTCTAAAAATAAATTATTTTTTATAAACCATTAAAGATACCTAAAATCCTAAAGACCTACATAAAGGAAACCTGAAATCACTCCCCCCTAAAGGGCACCGGTTCCAAAATTTTGTGTTAATTATAATTGTTTTTTTAACAAATCTCATGTTATCTAAACTTAAATTTCAATAAATATTGTCTAAATACTTACCCTGTGAAATTTACGTTACAGTGAGTCATTTTTAACTAAAGTAAGCCAACAATTAACCACTAAAAATACAACTGCCACGCGACACTAATTATTTACAAACCGGTCTATTTATCTTTACTGTACAAAAACTTGTCTGCTGAGAAGTTTAGACTACGCTTCCCAGAGGAGCTAATGTCGCCAAAGTTGTTTTTGTCACCATGTTGTCATAATAATTATACATGAAAATAACTTGAATTTTTGAAGTTTTTATAACCTTTTAAATTTGTATTGTGTTTTCATTATTATTCTTGTTGTATACAAAAGTACAAAAGCAGGGGAGAAAATATGTTGATTCTCTAAGCACCAAATCTTGAAATTTTTATTGTTCTTATATTTATAAATTTATTTTACCCTATAGAATATTAATAATGGGAATAGAATAGTTAGATAAGTTAATATAATGTAGACTGATTTTAAGTTGTGTTTTGAATATTTGCGTTTATATATTTTTTAACTTTGCCAAATAATATAATAAATACAATAATGTAGTTTTATTGTTTTATTATTCCCCTTTTTACTTTCACTAAAAAAATATTGGAATTATTTACCTAGTGGGAGTAAAAAAAGGATCAGTACCATCCAGTAAAAAAAATTCAACAATAATTTGAATATCTACTTTTGACTACACCCGCTGAAGGGCGCAGTAGTAATCATCTAGGCATCTAGTGGTTTTTAAATATTAAAAATATGGTAAATTTCTATAGTTAGCTACAATTAGTTAACAATATCACAAAATATCAGTTGGTGACATGAATATAACGATATTATGTAATAAGTTTTATAAACATCATTTAATACACAAGTTTATTATGCACAAGCAAAGCGAGCGAGTTTTTTATAAATAATTAATGCTAAAAAGTTTTTAAAATAATGTGCACACCATACGAATTGCATACTACGACGAACGCAAAGTAATGTTTTAAAAAAATTTAAAGCCAATTTTACTAAATGTACTTTATCCAATTTAAGTAAAAAAAGACAAAAAATAACTTTTATTGTTTATAACAATAAAAATAATATTTTGTACTTTATTACTTAAATGGCTTATACTCAGTAGCGTGCAAAGGTGATCGGGGGCCCCCCCGCAAATTTTGATGATTGTCACTTATACCACCCAATGTGGTTCTCTACGGGGCCCCCCTAAGGTCGGGGGCCCCCCCGCACCGCGGGCCCTGCGGGGCCCGTCCTGCACGCCACTGCTTATACTGTATTTTAGCGTTGCAGAGCATAATATGATTTACTTATTGGTTTTAGTAGGTATACGAGAACGACTTTTTTATCTAAGTTATAATGTTAAATAAATAAGCACTTACCGGTGAAAAACAAAAAACCACATGTAAATTTTGACATGTTCGGTTCATAAAATATTCCATGACAATTTCGTGATTTAAAGTTCTTTTGGAATTTTCTCTCTTCATGATAGGAATAAGCTCTTGAATTATTTCCGCTTGTTCATCTTTATTAAATAAATTTGATATCACTCCTCCTGATAATATATTATTTAAGTATTCCAAAAAAACTTCTTCCTTGATATCTAAATCGGTAAATATAAAAGTTGTTCCTTTTCCATGACAACCGCAGCTGCGATATAATGCTTTAAGATCTTCTAGAAAATTAGCAATATTATAAGATCTTGTGAGAGTAATTTGAAAACTTTTATAGCCAGCTATAAACGATGAAAGTTTTGTTAAAGATTGTTTACCACTGCCACCAACCCCTGTAATAAAAATATTAAATAAAATAAAATTTAAATTTAAAAGATAAGTTCATTTTCTTAATATAAATGTTACAATGCACAGTTATTAATAACTTATTATATTATTATTATTAGTATTATATATAATATATACCTATTATAAAGGGTAAGTAGAATTGTAGCAATTTATAAACAAAGTAATTATAAAAAACTTAAATTTAGATGATTAATACTCTCTTAAAATGAATGAGTCAAAAATAACTAATTACACTATAGTGATATATGATAGTTCAAATTACTAACATTGAGTAGACCTACCTATATTACCTAATTTTTGTAGCTGATTTCAAAAATGCCACAGTTTTGCTCCAGGGCGTTTAGGATTTGAAATAATTGGGTAATACAATGCCCAATTATCTCAAAATGTAAGGTTTTCGTTAATATTTTGATTATTTATTAAACTATTTTGCCTTGTAACGATACACATTACGACATCTATGAGACGATTTCCTAACTACCCGACGTCAAGGAAAGAGTTGGACTACCAGAAACCTGCCGTTAGACGAAACTCTAACAGATGGCGCTTGGACAGCTGTCAACCGCATATGTTGTCAACAATTGTTGCACACGGCCCGTGTGAAGGATTTATTGCACGCGGCCCCAATTGTTTTTCATCAAGTCTGTCATCAGAATTTCGTCTATAAAACCGCTGCATTTTTCAATGGACAATCAGTCGTCTGGTGGCTCAGTTCCAAATGGTGTTATCAATTGTGAGCCCGAAAACCAACCACTAAATCACAGAGAACTCTCAGTGGAATATTAACAGTAAGTTAACCTGTTTTTAATATCACAGGGCTTTAAGCCGTATAATATTAAGCTTTAATAACAGAGTTAATGAAACTGTATATCCTGTATGCATAACACATAAACTAACAACATGTATTTTTCCACTAGAGTCCAATTGCAAATCTGCCCTGTCTCTCTGTAGGACTGAAAACTACGCCCGTGCCTGCCAGTTGCCTGTGAAAAGCCCTGGAACATTTGCCTGTCCTGATTAAAGGCTATGCAAGAACCTTTGTGTGCAAAGTCTACGATACTTTTGTAAATACTGTAAATACTGTATATAATTCTAATATAACTTTGTACATACTTTTACCTTGGTAAATAAACCAGTTTAAGTTACTTTTTGCATTTTAAATTAAACCACCAACCCTAACTGATTCTTATAAACCCTACTTTCTCCACTGAATAAAAGCAACCCGAGGTAGGTATTCCTCTATATCTGAAGAGTCAACCGGAGAGGAACCTTGGTGAAGTACTTAAGGCCATAACCAGCCTAGGTACGACACAGCCTTAAATCTATTTTGTATGTTCAGTATATTTTCGACTTTTTTGTCAAAAATATACAGGGACTCCATACGACGTCATGGGTAGATAAATCGTCACCTGAGAATTATAGTGTTCTATCTGCATTTTCTTTTTTTTATTCAGGTTAGTCTTGTTTTAAGTCTTAAAGATGATATTGATCTATCTATATATAATTGGGGTAAAAATTGTAAAGTTTAAGGCTTAAACTGTACAATTTCTACCCCAATTATATATAGATAGAACAATATGCATCTTTAATACTTAAAACAAGACTAACCTGAATAAAAAAAAGAAAATGCAGATAGAACACTATAATTCTCAGGTGACGAAATGTCAAATGGAACATTTTTTGTTCCATTGTAGCAGTATACAATAGCAGTTATATAGGAAATATTTAATAAAGCACTTTTTTGCAGAGAAGTGTTTTATTAAATATGTACCAAAACTAAAATTATAATATTTTTTTGGTAAAAAGTATTATTTTCTAAAATTTTAGTGTCGTTTTTTTAATTACCTACTAATTAAATTGAATAGGCAACAAAGTAAATGGGTTTCGGTATAAACATTACTCTTCGACTATTATTTGATATATTTTTATTCACATCAGTACCCAAAAATTCAATCTTCAATCCTATTTATTAAGTCTTACTAAAATTTAATATCGAATTGAAGTATAAAGGCGCCTTTTTCTACTTTATCGTTCAAGCACATTAAAGTGAATCTATTAATTTTTGACATTTAAAATTTAAACTTTAATATTTAATTTAAATGGACCTCATATACGACGTTTAATGAAAGATCAAGCATTCAAAAATGCTCTCAAAGTTGACGAGTTTGTCACATATGGCAGTGTTAAAGCTGTCATTGAAAATGTTCTTGGTTCATAACGGGTCTAAAATTGGTGCCAATTCATTAAAAAAATGCTCTCCGTTTTGTAATGAATTAGCGTTAATATGTCATTTAAAATAAATTTGTCGAACTGATGAACATGGAGAACGATTTCACCAAGTAAATGCAAATCTAGAGCATTGGTAGATATCTATGGGTATATTTGCAGCAAAAGATGTACGACGATGATGAGGATTAAGCACAATAATACTTTAATTCAATTCGATATTTGATACGATTTAATAAATTTAAGGTAGAAAAAAGCAAAATTATGCAATGCATTAAATTTTGTTGGCTTAATTTGGATAAAAAATATCGAAACTTGTTTACTTTGTTGCCCGTTCAATTCAATAATTAAAATAAACGACAAAAAATGTCAAATAATTAGTATCTGTGATACAATTGCTGTGTGCAGTCCCGGTTGCATAGTATGTACCGATTGCGGCCAAAGACCACGTCGTTAGACGGTGAGGATCACCAGATGTTCTTACATCTCGCCTCTGTTGACTTAACAGCCGAGCATATAAGCCCTGGGAGTGATTTGTTTTGATTGTGTTCCACTACACCAAGTTGCCCGACACTGATGAGACCCAATAAAGGTCGAAACAGCTGTCTGTCGGTATTTGAAGTTGGTGGAACGCATTCAAAACAAAAACTTTGGCGAGGTGTACGTTCAATTTTTTCTTATGAATATTTCCAGTGATGGGTCAAGAAAGTTTCTTAAAGAAACTAAGAAAATTGAATGTTCAAATAATGGTTGTTTTTTTTACATAAAAAACATTAAAATTTTAGTTTTAGTATTTAAAATGTCATATTGTTAAGATAAATATCATCTTCAATTGGAAATACACTTATTTTTTAATATATGTATTTTAATCAGTTTATCGGTATTTATTATCCTGAAATAATAATAATACAAATTTATATATTATATCGATGAAAGCGTTTTCGTGATAGCAGTATGTCAACTTATGAACGCGTTAATTTTAATAAATACTTCATAATAAAAAACAGGGGTGCAGCGAGCCCTGAGCCGAGCGGTTGAGTTGGGGTACGATAAGCGCTCGTGCGTGCAGTGCCGTCGCCGCTAAAGTTCAAGTAACAAAAAGGAATCAATGTCGATTCTGCACCTGATAACGGAACCAAGTTCTAAAAGAAAGGAAATAATACTAAGTTTGAAAAGTGCGGGTGGCCCCCGGTTAAGTCACAAAGTGCTGTAGCGTCGTGGAAGTTTGTGTGAGAGTGAAAAGGTTGGGGCACTCCGATGAGTTGTCTGACCGCTCCTGATCACCTGTATGGTCATCACAATCGACAGGGCCAAGGAGCGCGGTCTGTCCGCTAGGGATAGGAAGGCAGAATCTAATAAGTCCAGCTAAGTAATTTTCCTAATTGCATGACCTAATAACAGTATCAATTCGATTCTGATATAATTTAATCGTTAAATATTTATATACGCAAATTCGCAATGTTGCCAAAGGTCATCTGGCTTCAGAAATCAAACAGGTCCCTACACTGAGAAAAGTGATCTATTTCAAGTTTTAATTAAACGAACAGTTTTTGGTACATTCAATAAGACCAATGCGCATAATTGTTTATTTAAAAGTCGAATGATACCTACAGTTTTTAAATTAAACTCGTACAGTTTTTGAATATACATTTTTACTACTACAAAATGTACAAAGATTTCAATAAAGCGGTTCAGTAAATTATGAAAAATCTCTAATATAAGCAATCTGACTGTTTGTCTAAGATTTCTTTTTATTGTCTCAAAAACTAAATTTTAAAAAATAATAAGATAACATTTCCTTAAGTGTTAAACTAACAACCTCATTTTCTCAGGTATACAAACCATAAACAACTTAACTAAATTGAAAAAGGCGTAAGAGTAAATAAACCAAATCAAGCAAGATAACAAAAAATTTAGATCATAAAGAAGTGTTGTGTGTGAATAGGTAATATTGTATATGCATTTAAGATTCCAGCCATAAATTTAAGCCAAATAAACATAGGCTCAAGAAATACAAGAACATCACAGAAGATAAGAAGAACGACCCTCTCAATAGCAGACCATATGGCCGCAAACCAATTACGTACACTACAGGGCCGGCTTTATCTATTTTGTATATTAATTTTATATTTTTAAATTAAAATTTGGAAAAAAAGATGCAAAGATATAAATTAAATGAAAACGGTATAAACACTAATTTATCAATAAAATAAATAAAGAATATACAAGGTTGGTAGCCGGCACTCGGCAGGAGGAATATCCACCAAGGCAGAGGGCACTTATGGTGTTTCATGGCCGTCAACACTTCGGTACGGAAGACAAGACTCAGTATCACATAGTGAAACAATTCTAAAGAGGTTACCAGGAACCTGATACTGACTCGGACAGAGATGTTCAGAAATACACCATCAAGGATAGGCTCTAGCAGCATACTAATCCACCTACCCCCATTCAGCAATCCCAACCGAAGGGGGTTACTACTAAAGCCCTGGTTGAGGAGGATTTCGGATTGTACTTAGTTTTGGGTCAGTTCAATGTCCTCCAAAAACCCTTCCTAAACTGAACGTATGGCACGACCCGGCTGACAAAAATCCTTGGAGCGGCCTTAACCATAGAAACTGTCATCCTAGGGTGGATCTACCAGCCG